GCTGACCTGCAGATCGGCTACGTGTGTGTATACATTGCAAACAGAAAAAAACAGGTTCTTTCACTGCATACTTAGTAGTGTTTGCATAAATGTGACACAACACCTACCGTTTATCATCCACGACCATGTATGGAACTTGAACCTCTGAAGAAGTAGTCGGTGATATCTTTATAGCCTTCACAAAAATAACCATTCGTCAAACGTGAAACTTCACTCTTTGTAAGGGATTCTGCACTACTTAAATTACCTTCGCTTACCCCTGAGTGGTATCACAGTCTGTCTGCAGTATTTTCTCAATGGTAGTTAGATATAAACACACCAGTGGCCAACACGGATGGCGTGTTCAATAAGATCAATAATGTATCCATTGAACGAGAAGCATTGTGCCAATTGGAAGTTGAATCATGGAAGGTCTTTCCGTTGGGATTTTGAAGAATAATGGAGCAAAAGCAGTGTATTGGTGCCAGCTGATTAACACTGATTCACATACGGGTATTAGATCCTCCTAGATTGTGCAACCAGAATCACTGCACCCATCAAATGGGAATCAACGCCATGTGAAGAAAATGGATAGGACGCGAGCAGTGGAACTTGATCAACGACTGGCACTACATAACGCATTTGTAAATACTGTTTGGAGAATCCACGCTGGTATGCCACTTGACTGATCTCCATAATTAGCCAGAATTTAGCAAGTAGGACTGCCAGAGCATTGCTATAGACAAGGTTCACGGCAAATTTAGTGATGTACGGGTGCGATGTGCGCCCGATCCACTGGTGTCTGACGATGTGTCTGGCAAGGAACTCTCCACCGATTCACAAGTGATCACCGATTGTGTTCCACCTGTTCATACTTACAACGATGAACCTTCACTCATTGAAGGTATTACCTGACTGATCCTGTGAATGAAACTCCTAATTGTTTACTATGAACTTGGCACGACCTCATTGTCTAACGTGTTCAACAAACTGTTCGCGTAAGAAATTCTACATGAGGACAGCTATGTACCTATACAGTAAATCTCCCTCTCCGTGAAGCACCAAGTTGCATCAACAACGGTCAACCGTTTATCCAGCTTGATGGTAAAGTTAATAAAACACTCACAGTTAAGTGAGGATACATATTGTGCTCCATGCTGCAGTATTTTGACAAGTAAGAAATACCAATCTCGGGCCTGCCAAGGGGAGGAAACGATTCCAACACTAAACCATCTTCGTCTATGTATTTGGCAGACCGACAACACCTTTCTGGTAGTATCAGCAGCAAGAAATCGGTGAATCCAAGATCGCGTGCATAACATTCGCCCAGCGAAAAAAATTCACACTTGCAAAACAAGGAAACTCTATCAGCCTTCTCCTCTTGGATATGCTCAAGATATGAAAGCCCGACAGAATCACAGAAATGTCGTGATCCAGGCCTACACGATGGCGCCTACCCTGGAGCGGCGCGTTACAGTTTCAGGACATTGGCGATCGATCAAGTTTGAATGTTGAAGTCAATAGCACGTGCATAGCTTCTGAATACAGGTCATTGGTGGATGGTGCCAGCCAATCCAAGACGATGCAGACAGAAGCAAGATTATGTAAGCAGTACTGGAATCTAATTGGTTGAAGCCCAGAGAGCCAATAACCTCCGTTTGTACATGTTATTTAATCACCTTTATTTCTTCCAACACACGAACTACTTGCTGCCTGTCCTCTGGCCTTTTCCTCGCGTCTCGTGGGACATTGCTTCTGCGATCCAGTCCGTGATATCTGATTATCGATTCGAGTCTCGTGATTTCTATTGCGTGGTTGGTGTACCGAATTCCGTGCGTATTACCACTAATACTACTACAATCATAAAAACGTCTAGTCCAAAAGTCTTATTAAATCGTACTTTGATGGGTCAACGGAGGAAGGGAAGAGACCAAAACTCATACAACCCTACATACCTGATGTATCAGAAGCCATTGATTACATCCTTTTCGTATCGTGTGTAACTTTTGATCACAAACTCATAGGGAATTCGTCTTATATATAGCATACAAAGTGGGAAATGAAAATCTAGGAAGCACTGGATAGCCGTTTTGACCTGATCGGGTCTCATCAGCAGTGTGACTGCATCGAACCAACTAGGGATCGAACCCGGTACCTGGTAGGTTGAACGCAGGCATCCTACCCACTGGGCCACCGGACAGCTGATCAGACTGTTTTACATTTTACGTTTGCACGATATATTACAAACCATTTTTGTAAACTTCTTGTACGCCCTGGACCATGCTGATCTCAGCACTAGACTCCGGGGTTATGACTCGGCTCGGTGGACGAGTGAGTAGCGTGCTAGTGTTCTGTCTGTGACGTACCGGGTTCGATTACCAGTTTGGTCGATAGATTCCCACAGGTGATGAGACCCAACCAGTTCAAAACAGCTGTCCAGCGCTTCCTTTCTTTTAATTTCACGCTTCATTTGCTATACACATGACAAATTCCCGTAGAAATTGAATTAAATTCTGCATTACTCATATGAATACAAAAGTCATTGTGAATGTTATGTTGATAACACAGAGATTTTGAAGTATTGTATTTACTAATGTTTTGGTTACCGTGGGAATCTTTCTCAAGGCAGGTTTTACAATCCCACGATTTAGAGGGAAAGGATCGCAAGTTAACGGATGCCCCGTCATGTGTGTGCGTAATGTGGTTGTTGTGTGTATGTATGTAAATTCGTGTGGTGGGCTGAATGACTGGTTGACTGTCATACTAACTCTCATCATCTGATGTAGTCAAGCAGCACAATAACCTTTGTCGTGATCACCCGTTAGTGATGTTGGAGTAGTCCAAATGCTCGGGATCTCGATTTCGTTGTTTCTGTTGACGCATACAGAGTCCGTTTTAGTGGCCAAAGTTTCGACATACAACCTTTCAGTGCGAGTTCAAAATCTGAGTTGGCATACTTTCAGGTTATCGTAGTCTATGGTGTGACCTTCGGCTACGGCGTGAAGAGCGAGCACTGAGTCTTGTTCTAGTTCTGCCAGAATTGCTTTATCCGTAGGCCGGCAATTTTCTTTTCTCCTTTGTTCAGTTATTCTTGTCTTGAGTTGTCTGCTGGTTTGCCCAATGTATTCTGCGGGGCATTCTTCACAACTGATTTTGCAAATGCAATTATTTTGATCTGACGATTCAATCGGATCTTTGGTTTCCATGAGATGGCGTTTCAGGGAAACAATATTTATATGTTGAAATCGACGAGAACCTTTCTGATTGCTTTTGAAGTGCCTGATTTATATGGAATGTCAATAGAGGCTACACGGTGCTTTTTATCTTTAGGTTGCATCATTAGTTTGTTCGCTTCAAGTTGGTATCTTACCAGGATTGGTGGATAATGATTGTCTTCTAGCACTTCAATGAGGTGTTTCATTTCCATTCAGTGGTTATCTTCATTACAGAGCTTTATAACGTTGTCAGCCAGAGAACGGATAGGGGTCCGTTCAACACATTGCGGATGAGCTGATCAAAACGTAGAACTTTTTCCGAATTTGTGTTTTCTGGGACTTGTGACCTTTGCCTCTAACTCGTGTGATTGTAAAACCTGCCTTGAGTAAGGTTACCCACGGTAATCGAAACGACGGCGAATATAGGTGTTGACCAAACTTGCGCAACAACCTGATTTTCATCACATTTGCTCCTCTCAGTATTTCGTTTTTCCGGGCTCATTCACGGGATTGAATATGATATTGCCCCACATCAGACGCAACACATCTTATATAATACCCACTTATTTTTGTGCTTTTATTAGCAACATGCCATTGATATGTATGATTTCGCGATTTTGACGGTGTTTGCTGGTACATCAGTTGTCAAAGAACAAAGTCACTGTATGAAACATAACTAGAATTTATTAATGAAAATGACTCATAGACTTCATACAAGTATTGTACTTTCATCTCGCCCATGTTCCATTTGCCTTTCTTCATTTTTTGAGCACTGGAGTAGTCGCTTCCGCGTAGAGTCCACCAAGTTGACTGCCACATAAGCTTTGCCAGTTTCCTCCATTAAACCCCGCAACCTAGACATTGACGTCCGATGTCAAGACAGCTGACTTACCCCTGTTTCTTATACAGGGGAAAAATTTCGATTAAATTAAAATTCCAGCTGCTGCACGGTATTTGAATGAATTTGATATTAAACTTGACCCCTCCAGATACTGCATAAATGTAAAATAATAACGAACTAATTTTAAACTTACAAAGGTGAACACCTATTTAAGTTTTATCATTGTTATATATTATGTTCATTTCATTTGTTTTATCCGACGGTAACGGTGAACACATTGTTGACTGAAATGTGGATACAGCCGCCTGCACACGTCATCTATAATACAATACAATTTAATTAGATCTAAAAGTGTTTTTACTACCAACTCCAAGCAAAAAAGATATACCAACCTTTATCTGTGAAAAATATGACTTCCGCGAATGCAGTTGAAGAGTAGCAGTTACCGAAAACCTCCATTATCAGTGCGAAACATTTTGCAGTATCCAGATTGGTGTGTGCAGGAGACCAATAACAAGGCACTCAGTATTTACTTCCGTTCTAACTCGCCAGGCGGGATGAGTATTAACTCCTTTTAATAGATAAAACGAAATTCATTAGAAAAATGGCTTAGTAGATCAGATTTCACCGTATGCTCAATTACTCATGGCTAAATGGGCGGTCGATGCGATTTGAATTTGTTGATAAAATCAATACGTACCCTGGCTTGTTGGGGCTTCCATAACCACTTTATATCACGTGACCCCAGCTGCACGTTAATTTGAGCCATCATTTTCCAAACGAAAGCGTCATGAGAGGACGGTTAATCTGCCCGGGCTGTCCTTAATCACTCTAAGTCAAACGGTGATAGAAGCAAACTAAGAACAAAAATGTGGTAGATAAGATCAGGAAAAAAATATATTTTACCCGTAGTCATCAATATACAAGTATGATATTGAAGACAAAAATGTATTTCCAAAATCAGAGTGATGTTGCATTAGTTTGATCTAAACCTGCATAGCATTCACAATAAAACACACCAAATGATGCATCGATTTTTTGATGCATTCCTAACATAATTTGGTCCTGATATGTATAATACTGCAATCAATTCAGATCGACTCTTGCAGAGCAGACAAGTTTTCCTACGGTGAAAACAGAAAGAATCACCAAATGCTTTTTGATCTGATTGCCTGAATAGCAGCTGTGTTGCATGCTACTAGGTCTAAGCAACTATATTAATCAACACTATCACTATGTGTTCATTTTTTCAAATCTTGGCTGGTTCTTGATCATACTCAGTCGATCATGTTACCGATTGAAAAAAATAAAGATTTCTGTTATGTTCCCTAGTGCGGGATGAAATGAATACGTTGGTTTTGCGACTAATCTTTCTTACTGTGTCAACAGTCTATAACTGGCAACTTCGAAGCAACGAATGTGGTATAAATGGTCTCATAGATCATTTGTGGAGACCAGAGGGAGCTACAAATCACGAAGGACGTATAAACTGTGGTTGTATTAAAAAGAAGACAACACGTATCATTCACAGTTGGGTGCTGTTAGGAATGCTTTCTTCTTTAGTTTACCGTAAAGACAATGCCCCAATAAATCATCTATTTGCTCTGATCTTTCCTTTCCGAAAAGAACTTCAACCTGTTGAGCGGAAATCTCACGGTATCCGACGTGATTAAAGTACTGTGCACGACCAATCCAGTTGCCGGTCCACAAGATGAATGTCTGATGGACACTGAAGTAAGCAAAACTGTCAAGCAGTTATGATTTCCTTGTCCATTCAATTTTAGCTCACGTTTTTCGATTTCTTTGAAACATTGGTCCAAATTGCTCTCAAACCTCCATCAATGGCGGAATGTGCAACATTTGCATCTGGACAAGTGCTTACATCTCCAAGTTCGCAAACCCGTTCAAGCGAGGCGGATACAGATGTTTTTGCGACGACAATGGACCAGTCACAAACACATGAAGAAAGAAATTTACCCGAGAG